AAAGCCTCGATTGGCGGTCTATTTACTCAGGATTTGTGACGCATGTAATACTGTTGTACTTGTCGCATATGAGGCGTAATGACATGTCTAAACAACTTATCTATTATCCGAAAAAATTCCGGAATCTTAAACTTTTATCTTAAACGTCGATTTCTTCTTTTTTTCTCTTGTATGTATAATCAGCAGATTATACAGTGCTAATGATGATGAATAAGTCTACAATTCCGCTAAATGTAAAGAGTGTAGAGCACACAAAAGTGATTAAAAGTAAATGTATTTGGATAATTGAGAACAAAAATGCGACATTTTAATTTATCAAAAAATTATTTATCTATATCTAATGAACAATGTTCCTAATAAATTCAAAATTTATATGAGAACATATATACATACATTCAAAGTATATTTTACTGAAATATAATTTATACATCATTTTTAGTTTCTATGTTTCTATGTGTTATTTATACATCATTTTTAGTTTCACGCATGCACGCACGCACACACGCACACACTCAATATTCATATACTAAGTATATTCATATACTAAGTAATTAAAAATAATTATTCATTTTAATTAATTGTTTTATATTATTTAACAATTATGAACCAATTTTAATTATGGAAATAACTCTTACTACTTTTGTTGTTTTTAGATTTGTGGGATTTCTCTCCTCTTCGTCTTTTATTCAATGGATTCCGAGGATCGTAAATCTCGAACCAATCATCGTCTTTCGTACTGGCATCTTTGGCAAGCACTGGTGCCTTCTCTTCACATTGCAAAACGTGTGTCAACCAAGATTCATCATGCGGATTATCATCCTCAGTATCTTTCGACGTTTTCTTATCGGAGCTTATTATATCATCCTTCGTATGTTCTTTGGCATTTTGAAGTTTGTTCCTAAATTGCTTAAACAGTTCCATCGTAAAATCCTCACGCGTTTTACCCTTCTTAGGCAATTTTTCCTTAGCTTTTTTATACTTTTCTTGCGTCTCTATGTATTCTTTCATTACTTCAGACTTATTTGTTTTTTTTTCGGCTTGTTGCTTTTGATCTATTTCCTTCGCTTTCTTTTCATTTTGTACGCTGCGCTTTAAATCGCGTATTTCTTTCCTTATTGCTTCACTAAAAATTTAATTTTAAATAATATAAATGCTTATTTCTTTTTTTTTTTAAAGCTACAAATCTATTTCACATACATTTACAATTTACATAATAAAATAATGTTACATACGCCTTTTTCTTTCGTTCGTCATCTCGATCTTTTCCGAAATAATATTCTTCAATTTCTGGATTTTCGTTTATATTTTCATCTTTTGTTTCATCGTTCTCGATTTTCGATTTTGATTGGGAAATCTTTTTAGAATCCTTCAATTTATTCTTGATCCTCTCTTTCATAGCTCTGTTGATATAAAATTATTATAACTATATTATAGATAATATTACAACAATTATTTTGTTACATAATATTTTATTTCAAATAACTTACTCTTTTTCTTGTTGCAAAGCAGCCAATTCTTCTGGAGTTCGTGTTTCATCATCACTCTCCCAATCGCTGCTGCGATCCTCTTTGATTTTTTTACTTGGTGGTTCAACAGGTTCAATCACAGACTGTGAGCTTAACTTTGGATCAGATAAACAGTCGTGCGCTGATTTTCCTTTGCCACTATATTGTCTGTTTAAAATTGATGACTCTTCTTCATCTTCCTCAGCTTCTTCCCCAAATGATAGTAACTTGAAATTCCTAGCATAGTTGGAAATGCATAAAAAAGATAAACATTATATTATTTAAAATAACTATATATTTATCTTACTTTACACCAGTTTTCTTATTCTTTTTTTTCTCTTTACTATCTTCCGTCTTTTCAGATACTACTCTTGAAACAATATCCTGGAATGGGTTGTTTAAGACTTCCGTTTTTAAAATTTTTTGTGGATACTGAGGTCTATCATTCTGAAATTAAATATTTTTCATTACAAAATTATATATTAATCTTTTTTTTTGTGAAGATACATGTTAAATATTTACTTCATCTACAAGTGCATCTTCCAACTTAAGCATGTTGTAAATTGTTTCACCAGTGACTTTGCCAAAGATAGTATGCTTATTTTGTAACTCAGGTGTTGCACCAAGTGTAAAAAAAAATTGGGAACCGTTGTCATCTTTACCAGCATTGGCCATAGCAAGCAATCCTCTCCGACAAAAACGTAATCTTGTATGAAATTCATCCTGTGAACAGACAACATAAAAAATAAAATTGATACTCAGAAAATTATAAATTGTTAGAATAAATAAATAAAGGGCTAATGAGTCAAGCTAAATAACCATACTTATTTATCTAATGATACAAACAATATATAAATATAAAAACATAAAATGATCATAGATATTTTAACTTGTAAAGTCATCCTCAATGTGGTGACATAAACAAAAAAATTAAAATGTTAAATTTAAATTATAAATGATAATATAAATAAAAATAAACAGATATATAAATAAGAATACATAATATAAATAATAATTGTCAACAACATACAAAAGCAAGAAGCATGCTAGATAACTAGCTGAAATTAGTAATATAATATAATTGTACCTTAAAGGGATATCCATATATGCTCTCACCACCTTCTCCTGTTCCTGTTGGATCTCCACCTTGTGCTATAAAGCCTTTCAAAATTCTATGAAATATTGTATCGTTATAATAACCGTCCATACAGAGCTGTATAAAATTTCTACAAGCCTTGGGAGCTTCTTTCGTCCACAATTCCAAATCTATATCGCCAACTGTTGTTTTCATTATCACCTATTTGACAAAATAGAAAAATAAATTGAAAATAAAATGTGTTATTTATATAATTTAT